TATGGCTTTTTAAARARTGTGTTATCTCTGARATATCTCTTCTGAGATTTTYGAGTTTGGYGTAACAAATACTTCTRCTTTTCAGGAMARAAATAGAAYTTGTATTTAAAGAAACCCTAAAAACATTAGATAGACTTCATTTATTTCAATATGAGAGAAAAACTTTACCATTTAGAACCAACCTTACATGAAAGCTTTCATTTTGAAGTCAAAGCCTTTTAGCAAAAGTGCTTTGATTAGGTCTCCTGATGGATAATTTGCTCATTTAACATAACTTTCTCCTGCATCCAGCTGCCAGGAGTTTTGGGACACAACTGAACCTTCCAAAGCCATACAAGTGGGGGTCACATCAAGAGATGCAGCAGGAAAGACAGATGTACCACAAGAAAATTTCTGATGTAAAATACAGTTTAACCATAAGTCAAATGCAGAGCTGGAGCACTCAGAACTATTTCACAGCTCCAGAGAAATTTATGTATTTTTCTTCATGCCATCAAAAGTCACAGCTGACTTTTTGCCTGTAGTTTGTTTTTTTTATATTGGATTGTCCTTCATGCATTACGATTGCTGATTAGATTGGGGGTGAGGATTCTATTTTTGACAATATGAAACTTCCCTGGATGGGTCCCAGTTATCTATAAAATCATAACAGAAGAAAATAGCTGAGCCAGACACACCATGGGGTTTCCATAGAAACCAGACTCTCTCTGGCCTCCTCATTCCTGTCGTTTTGTACACAAAACCTCCAAACTTTGAAAATGTTTCTTGGTACCATACTGTCATTTTGTGGAGGGAAATTTAATTTCCAGCTGGATTGATAGATATTGGCTTTTACCCCRTTTTAGGATAGACAGCACAATGTGACAGTGGGAGGTTACGAGAGAGAGAGAAAGATTCATGGGGGAAAAAAAGACCCTCCAGAGATTTACAGAAATAAAAAGTAAAGTAATAAATAATAATAAAAGTAAAGCAGTGATGCTGCCCAGCATCCTGCACCAGCACAGCCTCTCTGGGTGAGGCATTCCACTGACAAAAACAATCTTGGTTATAAATGCATTGCAGAGATTGCAATGCTTTCACCACAGAATTAAAGCAGGGGTTTAAGTTTAGACAAGACATACCTCATACAAAATCTATTTAAAGCATTCCCAGAGCGCCTGTTTAAGGGAAAATATGGCCCATATGATACAGCATTACAACTTTTATTCTTATAACAGTGTAGCTGGAGTTAGAGAGAGCCACTTAGGGAATTTAAAAAGTACTTTCAAGCATCTCAAAATTTAAATCAACTCATCTGTCAAGAGCAAAGCACATCATAATTCTTCAGGAAAAAAAAAAAAAAAAAAGGTATTTTCTTTTAGGATAACATAWATCCAATGAGGTGTCAAATATAACCACATTTCACTCATTGCAATGGCAAGTCACCGAGAACGAATTTGCAACTCAGACAATTCATCAGCCTATTCCTTGTTTCAATTCTTCGTGCCTTAGCTGCCAGCAATTTTATTTCCTTTTATTTCTAGTTGTTCCTGATGACTTGTTATCAATGAGATGGGCTTGTGCAAATGTCATTATTTCTTTGCTGGAAGTTTTGCTTCCCTGGCTGCAGCTGCTATCGATTGGAGCGATGTTACTGTGAAATCAGAGCAGGTCAGGCTCTAACAGCAATGACTGCTTTGGGGTTTTTTGTCTGACTTCCTGACCATGTGCCAAGTAATGTTCACACCTTGTGGAACCTTGCTTTTTGCATAAAAGGAAAAAAAAAATAAAATGAGAGAGAAGTAAGAAAATTCTTGTGAATAATTCAGAAAAAGTTAACCTTTTTAGATGTCAGGTACTCCCACCATGCTGTTTACCAAGATAAAATACCTTGAATTTTTGCACTGAAATGCATTTTCACTAGGTTGACCTTTACATTAACATCTTGGAGAATAATTTCCATTCTGAATGGGATCCATTTTTGTATTTATCAGTGTTAGGCTGTACATGGAATTTCAGATTCCACAGTGTTGCGTAGGGCCATGTGATTCCATGGCTTACAGGAAATATAAAAAAGTTGTTAGACACAAGAATTGCAATTCAAATACTTCCCCTTTTGTGTCTCAACAGTGATGTCCAGATTTGAAACAAAATAAAAGGGACAAAGAAATAACAAATACAGCCAAAAAAAAGACTGCATCTATTTTGGGGAAGGGAATTCAAGGCAAAATTTAAAAAGGTACTAGCTCACGGTGAATTTGATGCATATTAACTTTAAAAGTCTTGCCTTCTTTATCCCTAATTTTTCTGTCATGGCTTGATTATTTTACAKGTGCCAGATATGTAGATTTGGATTCCAGTGGTACTATCTGGTTTTGATGTATTTTATCCTCCATACTGCCAAAGGCCRCTGATTTTCAGCTGAGTATGAAAATAAAATTTGGCTCTGCCCGAAACATGGCTGTGATGGAGGRAGCAATGAGCTGTGCACTTGTTTATACAAGAAAGATAAGAAAAACTACTTTGATTTGACAGCATGCTGCAGACTGATACCAGTGTGCTCCAGGATGAATGCATTCCCTGTGAGTACTTTAAAATCAGAATTTCAGACACACAGACTTGGTAATTCAAATATAAGCAACAGCAAAATGTTTTATTACTCGGTCTGGCACTCATCCTTCTTGTGTTCCCCATGCTGCTCTTTCAGTTAGGTAACTGTAAAACTGGTTCACAAATATCAAAAACTGGTTCACAAATATCAAAAACTGGTTCACAAATATCACCCAAAGCTGTCTCCTACGTGGAAAAACTCAGGAGAGTTTTCTGCAAGCTGGTGCTCTGAATTAAGAGACTGAATTAAGGATAATGAAGGTCAGTGATAGGAAGAAAAGTAAAAATGGAAAAGAGTGACAAAGAGCAGGCACGTAGAGGAACTGAGGAGAGGATCAGTAAAAGCAGACAGTGAAGTTTGGCAGGATAGAGTTTCTCAGGGCTGTACACAACTAGGAATTATGATCAGGGTCAACACATTCTGATTAGCTGTAATTTTTCTGATATGGAATATTCAATTTGATTTATTGAGACTCTGGAGAAGAGGATCCTCCTTCCATCTTTGTGTGAACAAAGTACAAACCTGCTCTCCTGTCAATGCCCAAGGTTCCCAAGCACCCACAGCAGTCAGTTCCAGGTGCTGGTGCTCATTCTGATGACACAAATATCAGCCATAAGTGTTGCTTTAGGAGAGTGATGGAATTGGAGTGAAAAAATAAATGGTTGGTTTCAAATCCAGAACTCATCAGAGCAGAAGAGAGAAGTTGGCCAAAGTTGCCGTTTAAAATTCTTAATTTGGAGTGAATGAAAAGAAGGCAGCAAGGAAAAAGTGCTATACTACATGACAAACCCTCCCGAATCCAAATGCTGGAAACTTCAGGGGGATAAGTCCATAAATAAGGAATGTCATCACTGTGACCTCAACTTGCATTAATAGGATAAAAAAGCCAAACCTACAGCTCCTGTGCAGAGCCTTCAACTCTGTCTCAGGGTTAAAATACACCCCAGTGATGGAAAATCCATCTGGTGCTCAGGTAAGGAACTCTGAAGGTTGGTCACAGGGGTAAGGTCTTTTCCCAAACCATGTCCTGAGCTTCCATGCTATGAGAGATTTCATACTTTGATACTTTGGTGTTGGCTTTCTTTTTTCATTTGTTTGTCAGGTTTTCTTTGTTCTAGATTAAAGAGGGATCAGCTAGCAGATCAGCTATATTTTCACAGTTTAAGCTGAGTTCACCTCCTAACCTTCTTTAAATATATTTTTTCTTTTGCTTAGGGGTAGGGGATAAAGTGAATAGCTTAAGTCGTAAGCTGCTTAAGAGTTTCTAAACCCCTTTAGAGGAAGGGATGTTTTCTGAAAACTGAACTCTTTTGCAGGTTTGTTGCTTTTTTTTTTTTTTTTAACTAACCTTCAAGTTTTCACATACTTTCTGAAATACAGACGACAAAAGCAGACACTGCGTGCTTCAGGAAACAGAACGATCTTCTGTACAATCTTGCAGTAAACACATTGCCCTGAAAATTAAGGATTTCATTTTCTGTCAGCTCAAGGGGTGACCCCATCTACTGGATTCTCATCTTTGGTCACTTCTTGTAGGTCTCACTCATTTGGGTTTGGATTATGAATATGGACTTTGGGCCAAGTGTAGCTAAATTATTCAGGAATCAGCACCCCCACCCCAACACCTCCCCTGAAGGGCCTCCAGTACATTCAAGAGGATCCTGAAAGAGGAATTTTCTCCCCTTTTCTGCTGAGTGCTGGAGAGCCCAGAGTCAGATCCTGAGAAGAAAATTTCTGCCTCTCTTGGTGAAATACCATGGTTGTAGCACCACCAGGATCATGAGGCTACCATGGAGTGTTTCAGATTGACATTTTAAAGAATTAAGTCCCTTAAAAAGTTTTTTTGTTGGTGGATAATTTGCTGTATCAGTGCATTGTTACCAAGTGTGAGACAGGATGCCATAAAATGCTGCTACTACTGCAGTATAATATATTTGAGAAAGCATTGAATAAACATCTCTGTTTATGTGTGGGAGGCACAAACTCCATGGGACAGTCCTGCTGTAGCACGTAAAAAATGAACACATGTTAAAGAGGAAAGAAAGAGAGGAGCAGATGTTGGAAAAAAACAAAACAAAACGACAAGCCAAACAAACATCTACCACCACCAAGAAAAAATTTGAAAAACCCATYTGTCAACAAAACTTGAGGTTATTTCCTTACCAGAGTGATTGGTTAGAGCTGCCCATTAGCCAACACCCAATGCAAAACTACAGAGACAGAAAATTCCCGACTTACACATTTAGAAACAATTCCCTACTTAAACATTTAGAGACAGACAATTCCCTACTTACACATTTATAGACAATTCCCTACTTACACATTTAGGGACAGACAATTCCCTACTTACATATTTAGGGACAGACAATTCCCTACTTACACATTTAGGGACGGACAATTCCCTACTTACACATTTAGAGGTTGCCAAGCCGGCCACTGTGCTTTGGCCTTGATGACTGTTAAAACCTCATCGCTCTGTGAAAAGAGACAAAGGACAATTTTACAACGAGAGCAATATGTTTTMGAGCAGGAAAAAGCACAGGGCACTGGATCAAACTGTGGCTGTGAGCTTTAAACACCAGCAGCAGTTTGCAGATGATGTAGTTGTTTCATCATGAATTCACCAAGTTCATAAAAAGCAAAGGTAGAAAAAATGCTCTTAATACATTACAGATTAACAGATAAAAACTAGAGGCTGCTGCTCTAGGTAAGATAGCATTCTCTATTGGCATCTATGACATTTAATTTATTAACCTTATACATTTAAGGATATATGTAAGAATGTGAAGGCTCCATGTGCTGGCAGCACATTCTCTTTKCTCTCCATTTATGCATATGAGAATTGCAGGTGAAATACAGCAGCCATCTGTGGAAACCCACAGTGTCACTGTAACAGAGATTATTTCCTAAAGTCTGCTGTAATTCCTGCATCAGCACTTTTAAACTTTTTATTGGTACAATAAACTCAGAACAAAGGCAGGAGACCATTAAAAAGGCCCTAATGCCCAAAAGACATCTATCACACTCCTTTAGAAGCATTTCTCACCTCTCCCTTAGGAATCCACACCAGTAATTCACCTGGAGGAACACAGAGTTCACAATTCACTCCCATGATTTCTACTGTCTTTTAAAAATATTTCCCAATTAGACCAAGAAACCCACTTCATACATTACCAGTAATTGGCACTTCCAGCAGAGCTGACCTTTCAGTTTAGTGGTAACAGAGCTATTTCTTGCTTGATGGCAATAGTTCTGATACCCAAGACTAACCCTATTCCATACACACCCCAGTTCAAAGGAAACTGATTTCACTGGCTGTTTTTATCACTCTCCCAATGTTTTCTGACTCCCTCTTTTTACCAAAGCCTGAAAAAATCCCATACTGTATGAAGTGTGTTGAAAATCTCACTCTACAGTGAGAAGTAAATATGGGATCCATGCAGGAGGGATTCATCACACCCAACTTCACCCAGGGCAGCCTTCTTAACTCCATGATCCCATAGTAGGAGAGACAATTTTACCCTCAAAATGTTTTAAAAAGAAGCTGATTAAATGAATGAAGTGAAAGGTTTGAAGTTAGAAGACATTTTCTGTCTCTTGCCTTAATTTTTAATTTGCCTTGTTTCAATATCCTAAAACTTTCCAGCCAAGTGTATCWTCATTTGCTTGCCTTGAAAAGAGATTTGCATTCAAAATTATYAACAGTGCATTTTATACTGCAGCAAAAGTCAGTCATGAGCATAGATGGTTGTGTTTATTAAAGTCACACACTGCTTGTCTAACAGAAGGCAGTTATTATGTCAAAATCAGTAGTGTCTGAAAGCATTTCAACACCTAATTTTAAATTAAAAATGCACACCGAGAGTAGATGAGCAATGACTGATAGCTCAGTAGCAAGTGCAGAGGGAAGGAGATGGGAACAATCCATACATAGAGAGAAAATCTACAATCTACAGAAAATAAAATACTGTGCTTGAGTTTGCTGGCCAATCTYTTTAGCTAGAATTATTGGCAAATGGTAGAAGCTGAAAGGATATGAAATGCCTGAAGAGAAACCCACAAATTAATAATACATTGCTAATTAATGTAACCCAACTGCCTTGAATAACACAGACTTTACAGTAGAGGTAAAAATCACTGCATTATTTTTTATGTAATAAAAATAAGATTTTATTAACATTTTCTTGCTGCTTGCTGCCTTACATTTGTACCCATTTTACTCTTCTCCCCTATCCCCAAAGTTTTTGCTTTAATTTTTCAAGTAAACAAAGTCTCAAATTCCCACCAAAACAGGGAAAAGAAAACTACAATGCTTCACTGTGGTATGTTGCAAGTTGTCTTGTCATCATTTTCATATTTRTCTTGGAAGAAATGATTCAGAAGCAGTGAAACTCTTACATTTTGGCAAACGAAACGAGATTGTTTGCAAAATGATGGAGTGTCAGAATGTTTCCCTGCCAGAAGAAGTTAAAGGGAAGGGCACCAATAGTCCTGCTTGGAGCTGATGAAAATCCCTCAGGTCAAGTTTGGTTAGACATAATCACTGACAAAACTCAGTATAAAGTCTTTCTCCTGAAGCTTCTACTCTAATTTCAGTTATTAGTACAATTATAGGATTCCAGCCTCCATTTAGAGTAATGGCTCCTTCTTTACTTGCTCAAAAAGTACAGTGGAACCAAAGCAATTTCCAGATTAAATCCAATTTCATTTGGATTGCAACCTAAATAAAAACATGCAAAAATAGCAAACAATTCTCCTTTTCTCCACATGCACTTTCTACACTGGTGTCCAAGCTGGAGGTGAGTGTTTGACTCAATAGCTGCTCCCTGTGAAAGTGCTGTTCCCCAAAAAGTCCTAATAGGATGGCTTTAAAAGGTTGATAATTATATATAACTCTAATACTATATATATATATAATTCTAATATTATATATATATATATAATTCTAATACTATATATATATATATATATATATATATATAATTCTAATACTGACAGCCTTACTGAAGCTGCTAAAAGTTAATCATTGACTTTCATCCATTGGTTCCTGTCATGTACAAATGAATTCTCATGCAGAATAAAATAATTAAATGGCAGCACATAGAACCCTGTGGTATAAAACCACTGTTAAGTTAAAACCTTTTACTGTGCACCTACAAAAGATTAAAAGCATTTCCTCACTTCAAGAACAGAAAGTGGGACATCGCTGAAAAAGGCAGCATTAAAGATAGAATTTGATTTGAAGTCTTTCTCAACCAAAGRGACTTAAAACAACACGTTTCAAGGGTAACATCCATTAAAAAGTAATGAAAACTTTCAGTGAGAGTTTTAAATATTATCTGAATACCTTTAGAATACAAGAGAGATTAGTAGGATCTAGAAAGCCGTGTAAGTTTTTCCATGTGCTCCTGCTACTTTTTGGTAACCAGCACGATCAGCATCTTTTCTACACTGGAAGCTATTTCTAGAAGTTTTATTACTATTTTTATTTTAGGCCAAATAACAATYGAAACAATTACTGTGCAGATCACTCAGCACTTTGCAATAATGATATGATTGGGTTCAGCTAAACAAATTACTGTGTTATCTGACATCAAAATCACAGTCAATGAACTGTGGGAATGAAGAACACCTAATGTGGGCCAGAGCYTAATTTCATTTATTTCATCCTGCTGCTGCTTGGCATTCATTCCATTGTTTTAGAACAGAGAACATTTTAATTCCTTCCACAACATTCCTCACACTATCTATGAATGCCTTTCTATCCACARTGGATTCATTTTCACAACACTCTTAAAAAGTAGAAAAAAGCAACATTATCTTCAGCTCCCAGATGATGAATTGAATGTCTTCTGGAAACAAACCTACACATTTGAGCTCTAAGATAGCATCTTCCCCTGCAGAATCATCCTTCCCCTCAAAAATAATTTGTTATTAAAGGAGAAAGAGATAAAGTGAGAATGAAAAAGTGTATTGCAGAGTTCTGTGGGGAACAAAACACTATAAAAATTAGAATGATGTRGTGCTTTGCAGGGATAGTTGGGTGCTCTCAAAATCAGATCAGATTGTTAATCTAAGCCTACATCCCAAAATTCCCTTTGCATTAAATCTTTCTGCATTACCTGTCCCCCAGGGTTTCCTCTCACTGAGGTGCTGGTTCAGGAGGGGAATGTGGGCTGAGATTGATAACAGAGCTGTTGCTAATGGCAACATCCAAAATCAGATGTGCTGTTTTACTTCCATAAAGGTGCACTTACATAATCTGGGGTGCTCCCAATAAAGCAAAACCTCCTGTTTTGCATGGTGTAAAGCTTAGCAAARTGTGTGTTGATGAGCCCTAGATACRTTCTGAGTATCYGAGCTCTCATTTCCCGTGCCTGAGCAGATTCCTTGGAAAAAGGGTTTCCCTCAGGAATGCTCCTTCATTGCATGTTGATTTTCTACTGCACATTTTCATTCTGCATCCAACGCTTTGCTGTCTCTAGCACTACAGAAGCGTTTTGGGATCTTAAATTACTTTGCCAAACCCAAGGGAAAATCTTTTTACTACAGTTCACAATGGCTGCTTTTTAAAGGAGGGGATCAAACAAGATTTTGAAGCTGACCTTAAGTGGTGCAACTCCCACCCTCTGCTTAACAGGTTTATCCAACACACACCCTTTTGACCTCCTTTTGTCTTAACTTYCCCAATTCCATCGATCCTTTAGACTAACTGAGCCTTGAAACCTAAGTGCTATAAAGCTACTGCTACTTCAAACTCTCAAAAGATTGGACACCAGAAAAGAAATGAGGGGGGAGAGGCCCAAGCCAAAAATCCAACAATCCAACAATCCAACAATCCAACAATCCAACAATCCAACAATCCAACAATCCAACAATTCAACAATCCAACAATCCAACAATCCAACACACCGAGGTATTCTGTGTGCAAAAAAAAAAAAAAAGCAGCTGGATGCAATGGAATGGCAAAACCTGCAAGAGGCCAGAAAAAAAACTGCATTTACTGGAGATAAAAATTTAAAACTGGGTTAAAGCACTGGCTTCACTCAACAGATTCATATTCAGGTAACTACAGCATTTTTTGCTCAGGTCCTTGGAATCATTTCCAAACAGGCAGGGATGGAAGAATTGAGACAGGCTCATGGGCATGTCAGGAATAAGAGAGTCCCAACTGCTGAAGGATCAGCAGGAAAGTGCAGGAGAAAGGTGAGTTTGCTCCAAAAAAAACCCCACAAAACAACCCTGTCATCTGCTAAATGCTGCACTGAGACTCCAGGTGTCACAGTTATTCTTCCTGATGCTTTGCTCACACATTAGCCAAATGTGGGAGCTTGAACAGAGGAGAAATAAGTATTTGGATTATAGCAAGGGATTTTAAATAAGAGCAGCAAATTAGCTCAGGAGGTGAGCTTTCCTGACCCTTGATAGCACTTTGACAAATCAATGTAGGGGCTTTTTTCCCTTCAGAATGTACA